TAGGTTTTGGGCTGGCGTTCTGGCCCCGGGAAATGTTGATCTGCCGCTGGCGCCGGTGCCAAAGATAAGGTTTCCCAAAGTTCTGGCATTTTTGAATAGGTTTCGTTTGCAATTTGTGCCCAAAGTCCGTCCGCCCTGTGCGAAAAACAAATCTTCCTAAAGTTGAGTTCTCGGCGCTTGTTTGGGGGTTCCACGGAGTCTGCCTGGCCTGGCTGCGTATCGCTGGCATTTCTGAATGTGTTTGTTCCACCTGCGGGCTTTGGAACGGGCGTTCTGGCTCCAAGAGGTTTTATCTGCCGTCCGTGCCGGTGCAAGGACAAAATTTCCTAAAGTTTGGTTCTCGGCCGTAGGTTCGGAGCCCTGCGCGTCTCCGGCGTTTCGAATATTTCAGCTGGCGTCCTGGACCCAGGAGGCATTGATCTGCCGCCCGCGCTGGTGCAAAGGACAAGGTTTTCCGAAGTCTGGTCTTGGCTTTCTGTTCGGGATTCTGCTGGGTTTGCCTGGCCCGGCGGCGTGTCCCTGGCATTTTTGAATGTGTTTCTTTTCCCTTTGGGCCAAAAGTCCGTCCGCCTGGGCTGAAAGCAAAATTTCCGAAAGTCTGGTTCCCGGCCGTCTGTTCGGGGCTCTGCGACTCTGCCTGGCCTGTCTGCGCGCTTCCGGCGTTTCGAAGTTTTTCTGCTGCCTCCAGGCCCCCGAGCCGGCGTTCCGGCCCCGGGATGCGCTGATTTGCCGCCCGCGCCGGCGCAAAGGACGAGATTTGATAAAGTTTGGTTCTTGGCCTTTTATTCCGGGTAATGCGACCGGCCTGGCTTCGGGTCTCTGGCGTTTTCAAATGAGCTCTGTGGCTGGCGTTTCGAGGCCTTCCTGCTGTTCCTGATCTCTTTCTCTGCCCTTTTCGCCGCCGCCTCCATTACTACGAGTGCCACTACGACTGCCACTACGACTACGACTAGGACTATTCTTACTACTACTTTACTACTACTACTTCTACTTTTACTACTACTATTACTACTACTACTACTACTATTACTACTACTACTACTACTACTACTACTACTATTACTATTACTACTACTACTGCTACTTTTATTACTGCTACTACTATCACACCAACTACTATTACTACTGCTACTACGACTACTATTACTACGACTACTACATCCATTGCTGAAGCTACTATTGCCGCTGCTGCCACTACTACTACTTCCGCCACTTACAACTACTATTACAGTTCTGTTGTGTAGGGGTAGGATTCGTTCACGCACGACTTAATACTTGGAAGCGTTGGTGAAAGAAATGGAAAGTAGTAACTCGCAAGTCAATTCTTTTCTTTGGGTGGGTGTGCATGCCCGAGACGACAAGTCGTAGCCAGCGGGCTAATTCTTTTTGAAATCGTGATCCGAGTGCTGTCACATACATATATATATATATATATATACATTTACGTAACATAAGTACGATTTCCAAACTCGTTTGTACCATGCCAAATCACTATGCTTTTACATGGTGACGATATACATGAAGCTTTTCATCAGTGTTATTTATATATCTTTTGGGCGTCCGTTTGAATCACAACTCGTTTGCTCAAACGCACGTCTATGATGTTAGCTGGTAGTCTCAACGACAACATTCTCATGTAAAGAGACATGGTCTGCTCAAGCTCAGTTCCAGCGATAGATCTGCACTGCAGTGATATTCCATTAACATGATATACATCTACACTTAAGTATTCATTTTACGATTATCACGAGGTTCCAACCTAGTTGATGCAGCGGCACCGAACACACATTTATATTTACATATGCATACACATGTTTTATCGTTCAAAGTATGGTTTTAACATTCAACGTCGGTGCGCCGAGCACCTAACCATCGCAGTAATCATTTGATATTGCATTCCAGCAATATTGTAATGTATGTATGTATATATACAGATATATACGACTAGTTTTTGACGCTGTAGTTTCGCCCCCTGTTTTCTTTCTTGTTTTTGTTGACGCAGCGTTCTTTGTCTCGTACATCGACGGTTTTCGAGCAAATGTGATTGTCGTCGCAGATGTTTAACGTACTGCGCCTGTGTATGTTTTAATGTGTACTGTATTTTCAAATGCAATTGTATATCTACTGCTGGATGCTTGGGTCCTGTGTGTGCTTTGTTCAAGTGTTGAATTTGTTTTTGGTGCGCCTTTTTCATATTATGTGAAGGATTTGGGTATTTCTGTTTACATTGTATTGGTTATTCCATTTTTCTGTCGTCGCATGAGTTTAATCTTTTCAAAATTGCGTTTTTTGTTCCTATACATTCGACAGTATTGCCATCACATTTTCATTGTTTTTGCGTATTGCCGTCCTGATTTCTGAACGTCGGTCTTCGTTTGAATGTGATTGCCTTGGCCCGGCTATTTTCTGAGATTTTTTTTGTTGACAAGCGGCGCCGTTTGGACGGGCAAGTTGAGCGCAGAGACGGCTGGCGCCGTAATTTCAGTGTGCAACTGTTCGCGCAAAAATTTAAGCATCGATACGGTACAATTGAAGCAAGAAGTTGGTCAAGTGAGCATTTTGGGCGCGAGCAAGGCCAAATACCATTTGAACGTGCACTTTAAACGCGGGGGCTGCCGAGACCGTCCATGGCAGCATAAACCGCAAGTTGAGCAGCAACCCTTTGAGCTTGCACGCGACCGCCCCCGTAAGTTCGTAACGCAATTCGCCGAACGAGTTTTAGGACTAGTCAGTCGGTCGGCGTCGCAATTTCAGTTAAACATTGGGTTGGAGAGAAATTTCTGCACGACGCAGAAGAGACAGCAAGGCCTGAATGAGCAACTCAATCGCAGAGTTTGCCGAATCCGCATTTTCGAGCACAGAACCTTTTGAACGAGCAACTCATAGTGCAATTGGAGAAGTCAGCGCGCGTCCTGCATTCCACGCAAGGCGACCCCGAGGCAACGGCAAGAAGAGAAGGAAGGGGAAACAGGAGGGGAATGGAGAAAACATCTGCAGTGAGTGAGTCCAGGAATTGTCCCACACCCCGAGGACGCTGCGGCGACAGCTTTCGCGCACATCGGCCTTCAAATAATGTCTGCGAGGCGAAACACATCAATTTCGTGAAACATTTGTCCCAATGCACTCGGCAATTTATATTGACACTCTTAATTTGAGTTGACAGTTGCAGAACATTTTTTTTGAATTTGACAGCATGTTCGTAAGACATACCACAACATACATTGAGTTAGATCTTACATCCCAGAAAGTTAACACGTACCGACTGCGACAGGACCAATTGAAACGACCCAAGAAACGGCAACCGAAATGAATATGACATGTCTTTTCTTCAACGGAAAAGTAGAGACGCAGGGATTAAGAAACTCGAACATAGCCAAACCAGAGCAACACAACCTTTACATTATGGAAATGGTTGAATCAATACACGTGAAGCATGCAACTTCATGTGTATCAGAATGAGCAACATGTTGAAACAGTCGGGTCGCGGCCAACAAGTAGCAACGCCGAGTTCATTTACATCAACACATCAGAAATGCCAGCTGGCATAGCAAGCGAACGTCATTGTAATTGTGAGCAAATCACCAGCCGCATAACGCAACAAGTCGAAGCAGACACAGTACTGGTGTATCCCAACTTCTCGTCTGGGATTCTCAGAATTTAATGTGTTCTTGTAGCAGGTTTTGTGGCCAATTCGTGGACTTGGCCGTTTCTCATTTCTCAGATTGGTAGTTCAAGCGGTCCTCGGGCAGCCTTCGGTTTCGGCCACTTTGTGCGCAAGTTCTTCGTCCACCGGGCTCGTGCGCTTGCCTTGGCCCGTTCTTCTCCCGTTCTTCCCTCCTCTCCCATTTTCCCCGTGCTTGCGGATCGTTGCTGCTCGCTCTCTTTTCTGCAGTTTCTCCTCTTTTGTGCTTCTTCGTGCATCGCTTTTCGTCGTGTCTGCTTTTTGCTGAGATTCGTCGCAGTGGATCGGTATCGTTTCACCCACACCCATCCCAATCCCCATCCCCTTCGAGACTCTCACCACATTGGCCACGCCGCTGGGGATAGGGATTGGATCAAAGATGCTCAGTGGAAGCGTTTCGCACGTGATTTCTCGGGGTCTCTCGTTTTTTGTTTGGTGGCCTCGCTCGCGTAGTTCGGGGAAGCGATGCCGCTTCAGAATTGCTGAGGTTTTCCGTGCCTCTTCGATTCGCAGGTGGTTCGGGAGTAGTATTTCCCGAATTGGCAGAGAGCAGATAGTCTTTGGGAAGGTTAGGTGTGTCAATGTCACATGATATAATACACCAATTAGTGCGTTGTTCGTTTGGTCAGATTGGCGTGTGTCCCAGGTATAATAGCATTATTGTTCTTTACAGTTGGCCGACAAGTAGTATATATCAGTGTTGGTAACAGTATGTGTTTGTATTTTTTTTTCCAATTTGTTGTGACGATGTACTCACCGACTTGTCGGGCTCCATCGGTTGGACTGGGGCACCGTTGTTTGTGCGTTGGTCCGTGATTGAGGGACAGTGCATCGGAATGTGGAGGAGACGTTCTGAGTCCTCCGTCTAGGTATCTGGCGGCGACCGTGAAGTTTCCATTCTCTGAGCGACATGTATACAACTATACTGCGATGCCGATGCTCATGCGCAGGGTCGGTAGTGTTCCTTCGCTTGCAGGCATTCAGATGCATTGTGATTTCTTCAGTAGCGTTACCTGTTACCTGGGATACCAATACCGCTATTGTTCCTTTGTCATTTGCCTCGAAAGCTGGGTCTGAATTGCACCTTGGGAGAGGTCCACGGAGTCGTTATCGATTTTTTTGGGTTCCCCCAGAAGACGCGGAGATGGAGGGAGGGAGGAAAACAGATGATTCCGCGAGGGAGGGAGGGAGGCGGGGAGACAAGGATATTGAGGACAGGAATCAGGAGTGGAGGGCAGGGGGGAAGGGGAAGCGGAGTGGAAGGAGGATCAAGAGGTGGAAGACGAGCGGAGCGAGAGGGAAGACGTAGGATGCGAAGGACAGCGGCGCCCGCGGCAGCGCCAGCATCGATGCTTCTGATCGCTCGGCGCGCGGACAGTCAGATCACGCTGCTACGTCAGAAAGGGCACATGGCGAAAGGACGCGGTCTGGATGATCAGGGCGCATGATGCTTAAACGGCTTGTTGGGAAAGGGGGGCGAACGGCATGCCAATCTCACGGAGGAAGGGGCGGTGCGTGGGCTAAGAGGGGGAGGCATGAGCTGTGGATGGCGATCGCTTGTTGGGCCTGCCAGCCTTCGGTGCAGTCTGCGATGGCACTGCCAAGGCAATTGTTTTTGCCATGTGGCAAGACTGGCTGTGCACCATGGACGCCCAAGAGGTAGTTGTACGGTGCGAGCAGGGCAGAAGTCTCATGGCGGCGGGGCTCGGAATTGGTAACTGGTATATACCAAAGGGGTTCTCGATGTGATGACTGGCAGAGTGGATTCTAGGACGATCGGTGCAGGCTGTGCTTTCTTATATATAGATCTACAAGACTGCAGTGGCGCTTCGCGCCATGCACCTTGGTCCTTGAAGTTTGGTATGCAGGCGGAAATGGCAGGAAGGTCAAGCCGACAATTTAGCGATAACTCCTTGTTGCCTTTTCTAGCATTGCCGTTATAATAATGTTGTTCGTTATCCTTCCTCCATGCTTATTTTTCTTCATCCTCGCCACACCCTGGGCATTCTCCCCATGTTCCTCAGCTCTTTCTGCGATGGCTCCTCCTTGGAGAGCCTCTGGGGGCCTCACCAAAGTTCTCAGGCTTTTTTAAAGCCTTCTGGGGCCTCCTGGGTGTGTTCTGGGGGCCTCTGTGGCTTCCTAAGGCCAACCTGCCTCTAACCGCGGTCTCCCTGAACGCCCCAGTCACGATTTGGAATGCTTCGGAGGGTGTCTTGGGGCCATCTTGGGCCGCCATGGTGCTCTCTCAGGGCCATTTTGGACTCCTGTTGTGCCGTTTTGGGGCTCTCTTGGACTGCCTGGAAGCCTTTTCGGATGGTTGTGGGGCGATTTGGGAGCCTCCCAGGCGGCTTCGGACGCCTAGGAGACCGCCGTCTTGGAGCGTCGGGAAGCCGAAAAGAGGAGAACCCCAAATGCACCAAAAACCTACATAGAATCAATGATTTTTCCCTCTTGGGGCCTTCTTGGGGGTGCTCTTGGAGGCCTCTTGGTACGTCTTGGAGCGATCTTTCGGGGTATGACGGCTTCTTGGAGCGCTCTTGTGCTGTCTTGGGGGTCTCTGGGACGTCTCCGATGACCCCCCTGATCGCCCTGGGTGTGCTGCGAAGGCTTGGCAAAGCGCCCTGCAAGACCCAGGGGGCCGCTTCGAGGCCCGTCCCGAGGATCCCAAAGCTCCAGATCCCGGGGGTCCGGTTTTAGGGGGGCGGGGGGTGACGGGTTTTCCCCCCGCCCGGGCTTATAAAGATATAGGAAGAGGAATATTGTTTGCACTTGTGGAGTTCTTACTTGCTTTCTTTGCGATCTCCAGGTGCCCAGGGGCACAGAAGCCGGTGCAAGTTGCTTCCCTGCCTCGTCCTCCTCGTGCTCTCTGGCCGGCGCTCATTTTGGTCGAATCCCTTCCCCTTAGTGGGGAAGCTGGCAGCTTCATGGTAATGACGATGTAGCGCTGGAGTTTGCCCGTCTTCCTTCTTTTCCCTCACCCGCCCCTCGCTCCTTTTTCTCTCCGCTTCTGCTTCCTGCGCTTGCTGCCCGTTCGTCGTCTGTCTCTTTTGTCCCTGCCTTTCCCTTTGCTTCCGCGCGCCGACCGCTGACAACCATCGTCAGCATGACCCATGGAGACCGCCCCCTCCCCCTCACAACATGCACTTTGCAGAGTAACGAGATTTCAAGAAGTACGTCGGGGATCGCCGTCTCTTCGATTTCATCCGAGTCTGGGGCCACGGCAAATGGCGCATGCCAGTAACGGCCAGTCTCCTCTTGGGTATGTCTCCGCGGTCGGCTCCGCTCCGCTCTGAGCCCCGCTCTGGCCTCCTTGCCTCCTCCTGCCTGCGACCACTTGCGAGCCCTACCCCTACTGGTCCGATCGACGCTGTGGGTTCTTGGATATCCCTGCTGGGGTTGATCTGGCTGCAGACATCCCCCTAGCTCTGGCCCCCACCGTCGCTTTCGAGAAGTCTGATCTCTCCCCCCCCCGACGGTACCCACCCACAGTTAAGTCGGTGGCGCAGAGGAACCTCAGGCGCGGTCGGCAGATGGAGGTGCCTATTGCGAACGAACTCAGTCGAGCGCGCCGTGATGAAATAACCCAGCCACGGCCATGCGGCTTGGTGGTGGTGTGAGTAGATGAAGTGCTGTAAAGCCAAAGTGCAGCGGCCAAGCATCCCGCGGAACGCAGCTCGACGCCAGGCTCTGAAGCGCGGGCAGCAGTCTGGTGCTAAATGTACCCACCCACACACAATCACCGTGACTGGCCAGGGCAACACTGGGCTCCAGGATTGTGTGCAGCCAAGGCGCTGCAGGTTTTTGGGCCGCTCCTGAGACTCGGGTCGGGGAGCCGCGTAGGCGGCCGCGAATCGCTGTGGCCGTGAAAGCGCCTTTGTTTCCTGCTTGGCTTTCTTCCAAGGGGGCTCCGCCCGGGGCAGCCCCATGCATGCCCGCGCGCGCCGGCACCGCGCAGCCCGCCGCCGGCTCCCAGCAGTCTGGTGCTGCGCAGCGACGGAGAGGGATAAAAGGGAACGAGAAGCAAGCAGACGAAGGTAAACGCGCAGGCGGGGGGCTCGGGCCGGCGGGACGAAACAGGCGGGTGAAGGCCCGTGCAGAGCGCAAGGCTACTTTCTGGCCCCTGCCGTCGCGGCGCGCACGCCGTCTGAGGGGTCGCCAGGCTCCCTGCAGCCGCGCCGCGCGGCCGCGCCGCCCCTTGCGCGGCCCTTTCTGGGGGCTCCGGGTCACGCCGCTCCCCCTGTCCTGCCTCTCTCTTGCTGCGGCCGGGGCGAGCCCGCGCCGCGCCCCCAGCTCGTCGTCGTCGTCGTCGTCGTCGTCGTCGTCGTCGTCGTCGTGGTCGCCGTCGTCGTCGTCGCCGTCGTCGTCGTCGTCGTCGTCGTCGTCGTCGTCGTCGTCGTCGTCATCGTCGTGGTCGTCGTCGTCGTCGTCGACGTCGTCGTCGTGGTCGATGCCGTGGTCGTGGTCGTGGTCGTGGTCGTCGTCGACGTGGCCGCGCGTCCTGGGTCGTGGTCGTGGCTGCTGGCCGGCGGCCGCGGGCCCGCGCGTGCTCCCGCCTTCCCCCCCCCCCGCGGCCCTCCCCGCGCCGGCAGTCGCGCGCCGCGCTCCGCTCGCCGTACAGGGGGTGCGGGCCTGGGGGCCGCCGCCCTCCGCCTGGAGGGTTTCTCCGAATCCCTTAAGCGACCCATCCTCCTCCTCCTCCTCCTCCTCCTCCTCCTCATCCTCTTCCTCCTACTCCTCCTCTCCTCCTCCTCCTCCTTCTTCTCCTCCTCCTCCTCCTCCTCCTCCTCATCCTCCTCCTCCCTCTTCCTCCTTCTCTCTCCCTCCTCTCCTCCTCCTCCTCCTCCTCCCTCCTCCTCCATCTCCTCCTCCCTCCTTCTCCCTCCTCCTCTCCTCCTCTTCCTCCTCCTCCTTCTCCTCCTCCAGCTGCATCTCCTCCTCCTTCTGCTTCATCTCCTCCCCTCCCTCCTCCTCCTCCTCCTCTCCTCCCTTCTCCTCCTCTGCTCCTCCTTCCCCCCTCCTCCTCCTCCTCCTCCTCCTCCTCCTCCTCCTGCTTCATCTCCTCCTTCTCCTCCTCCTCCTGCTTCATCTGCTCCTCCTCCTCCTCCTCCTCCTCGACCTCCTCCTCCTCCCCCCCCCCTCCTCCGTCCTTCTTCTCCTCTTCCTCCCCTCCTCCTCCTCCTCCTCCTCCGCCCTTTCCTCCTGCTTCATCTCCTCCTCCTTCTCTCCTCTTTTCCTCCTCCCCTCCTCCTCTCCTCCTTCTCCTCCTCCTCCTCCTCCTCCTCCTCTCCTTCCTCCTCCTCCTCCTCATCATCATCCTGCTTCATATCCTTCTTCTCCTCCTCCTCCTCCTCCTCCTCCTCCATCTCCTCCTCCTCCCCTCCCCTCCTCTCCACCTCCTCCTCCTCCTCCTACTCCCTCCTCCGTCCTTCTCCTCCTCTTCCTCCCCCTCCTCCTCCTCCTTCTCCTCCTCCTTCTCCTCCTCCTTCTCCTCCTCCTCCTCCTCGGGTCGCCTACGGCCCCGGGGGAAACCGTCCACCCTTCGCCCGTTGTGATCTCGGGGGCCTCGGAGGCGTCTGTCTGCGGGGGCGAGGGCCGAAGCGGCGCAGACGTGTGGCAGTGCGCGTGGATGGCCGACGGGCCCCGTTTGCGTTTGGCATGGGCCGCGTTTTTGGGGAGGTCTTTCGTCGGACATTGGAACGTCTGCACTATCCGCGGGCTGTTTTCCCATCCCCATTTTTTTTGAGGGTCGGGGACGATTTTTTGTGATGTATATATGGTTCTTATTCTTCTATATACAGAATTCCGTTTCCCGGGGAAACAATGAAACATCTCCTCCTCCTCGGGTCGCCTACGGCCCCGGGGGAAACCGTCCACCCTTCGCCCGTTGTGATCTCGGGGGCCTCGGAGGCGTCTGTCTGCGGGGGCGAGGGCCGAAGCGGCGCAGACGTGTGGCAGTGCGCGTGGATGGCCGACGGGCCCCGTTTGCGTTTGGCATGGGCCGCGTTTTTGGGGAGGTCTTTCGTCGGACATTGGAACGTCTGCACTATCCGCGGGCTGTTTTCCCATCCCCATTTTTTTTGAGGGTCGGGGACGATTTTTTGTGATGTATATATGGTTCTTATTCTTCTATATACAGAATTCCGTTTCCCGGGGAAACAATGAAACATCTATGCACCAGGATCCCCTCTACACCAGGATCTGCTTTCCCGTGCGATTTTCAGTGCGGGGCTGGGAAAAACCGTTGTTGTACAGAGTTCGGCTCCTGACGTTTGGCACCGGCTTCATGTTTGGGGGGTGCTTCGCCCGATCCGTGGATTTGGCGCCCCCTCGCCAAATCCACGGATCCCTAATTCATATCATTAGCGTGTGCCCGGGAGGAGCGAGGAAGTGAGGCGGCGACCCGGGCGCAAGCGCTTGCAGTACGATGCGATCGATGTCCGCCATGAAGGAAGAGGGTCCTGGGGGTCTTTGCCCTTTTCGACCTCCCGTGGCCAATGCCGGGCTCTATGCAAGTCAATATACACGGCGCGTGACGAACAGTCGGTCCCAGGTAGAAACAAAGGCTCCATGATTCCTTTCTCTCATGCCAAGGCTGTGGCGACCTGGGCGAGAACCCAGTTGTCATGCGATGCTGGCATTTGTTCAAAACAACATGTTGTTGAAATTGTTGTTGCTGTTGTGTTGTTGATTGACACGTGACCTAGTCGCCCGGGCCCCCCCCCAGCAACCAGCAACCAGCAACCGAAGTTTCATTTCGGCGCACCCCTCTCGAGGACCGTGGCCCTGGCGCCACAGGGAGCTCCACCGAAGGTTCATTTCAGCACACCTCTCTCGAGGATGGTGGCCTTGGCTTCACAGGGATCTCCACCGAAGATTCATTTCGGCACACGCTTCTCCAGGATCGCGGCCCTGGCCCCACAAGGAGCTCCACCGAAGTTTAATTTCTGCACACCACTCTCAAGGATCCTCCCGCGTCCTCCCCCTTTTCCTTCTCCTTCCCCTTTTTTTCCTCCTTCCTCCTCCCCCTTTTCCTTCTCCTGCCCCGTTCTTCCATAGGATCGTATAGGATTCCTATAGCATTCCTATCGGATCGTATAGGATTCCTAGAAGATTCCAAAATGATCCTATAGGATCGTATAGGTTTCCCAATCTGATGCCAGAAGATTCTATAGGGATCCTCTAGGGATCGTATAGGGATTGTATAGGATTCCCATGTGATCCTGTAGGATACTATAGGATCTCGTGCGCTCCTACAAGATCCTCAGAGAATCATACAAAGATTGTATAGGACTCCCATACGGTCCTATAGGTCCCATAAGACCTTATAGGATCCTATAGGATCCTCATAGGGTCCTACACGATTCCTATAACAATCCATCGACGATTCCCATCGGATCCTTTAGGATCGCATGGAGTCCTGTGCAATCACCATAGATCCCCATATGATTTTATAGGATTGCATGAGATTCCCAATCAATCCCTTTACGATTCCCATAGGACTGTATACGGGTCCGATAGGATCCTATAGGATCGCATGGGATTTCCATACAATCCCTATACGATCCGTAGAGGATCCTGCACGATCCCTATAGGATCCTATGGGTTCGCATAGTATCCCTGTCGGATCCCTATCGGATTCTTGTAGGATCCTTTAAGATCGCTTGAGATTCTTGTTCAATTCCTTTAGGATCGCATGCGATTCCTGTACGATATCTTTGGGATCCTATATGATCGCATGGGGTGCTTATACACTCCCTGTAGGATTATCATAGGATCTTGTACGATCGCACGGGGTTCCTATGCAATCCCTCGACGGTTCCTACAGGGTCCTACAGGGCCCCATGGGATCCCCATACAATCCCCATACGATTCCTATCGGATCCTAGAGGTTCACATGGCATCCCATATAAAATCCCCGCAGCAGCTTATAGGATCCCTACAGGATCCTACAGGATCGCATCGGGTCCGTATAGGACCCCTATAGGATCCGACAGGATCGCGTGGGGATCCTATACAATCCCGATCGGATTCTTATAGGATCCTACAGTATCGCATGGGATTCCTATACCATCCCTGCACGATTCCTGTAGGAGCCTACATGGTCGCATGGGATTCCTATATTATCCCTATACGATTCCATAGGATCCTACAGGATCGTATGGGATCCCTCGAGAATCCCCACAGGATCTTATAATGTCCTATCGGATCGCATCGGATCCCGATCGGATCCTTATAGCATCCCATAGGATCGCATGGGTTCTTATACAATTCCGATAGGATTCTTTTAGGATCCTATCGGATCGCATGGGTTCCCTATACAATCCCTACACGATTTCTTTCGGATCCTATGGGATCGCATGGGATGCCGATACAATCCATTTCCGATTCCTATAGGATTACATCGGATCCCATAGGATCCCTATAGGATCGCTATAGGATCTTTATCGGATTCCTATCGGATTCGGCAGGATCATATAGGAGCCGATAGATTCCAGAGCTTCGTTGGTGCAGACATGGAAACATTGCATGCAGGAGGAGCTTACACCCTTAAGCAAGCGAAGTTTCAGCGGAGCGAAGAATGGAGCCCGAGGTTGCTGGTTGCTGGTTGCTGGGGGAGGGGGGTTGCTTACCCCGGGGGGCATGGTCGTGGGTTGTTCTTAAAGGACAAGCATTGACCAAGTTTCCGGGTGAACGGGCGACAAGATCACGTGTCAACCTTGTTGTTGTTGCTGCTCTTGTTGTTGTTGTTGCTGTTGTTGTTGTTGGTTGTATTTGTTGTTGTTGTTGTTGATGTTGTTGTAGTTGTTGTTGTTGCGATTGCTGTCGCTGTTGTTGTTGTCGTTGTGGTTGTTGTTGTTGTTGTTGCTGTTGTTGTTGTGTTGTTGTAGTTGTAGTTGTAGTTGTAGTTGTAGTTGTAGTTGTTGTTGTTGTTGCTGTTGCTGTTGTTGTTGTTGTTGTTGTTGTTGTTGTTGTTGTTGTTGTTGTTGTTGTTGTTTCTGGTCGTTTCGTTTCACAGACGCCACTTAGCTCTGCCGCTTAGCTCTGCCATCAATTAGCGACGTCAAACGTGCATTGCCGGCGTGAGTGTTGTTGTATTTTCACGTTGCGATGTTTCAGCGGTGTGCGTGTGTTCTGCACTAGTTCGTCTATGTTTTGCGTTGCGCCCTTACCATCGTTCTTTCGGTTGTTCGATCAGTATTGTCATGTATCTGTTTGTGGTGTATTGTTTGGCCAAGAGCGCAGAGACCACAAACACGACGGATCCGGCACAGCCTCCACACAACATGTGCAACGCGATTTTCTTCAAAGTCGTCCCCATACGCCGCTTCACGAAGGCGGCTCCTGATGATTACGAGGGGAAGGGGGGCGAGAAGGAGCGAGCAGGAGGAGGGGTCAGGAGTGGGAGGAAGAATGATGAGGGGGATGGAAGGTCGGGGGTTGCTAAAAGTGTCTCTGGCCAAGGTGCCCCCAGCCGTTCGCTCTACTTCGGAGCCCCCGGCGTCCTCTGGGCCTCCTGATGGGGTCTTTTGGAGGCCGCTGGGGCCTCGGAATTCCCGGAGGCGCCCTGGGCGGGGGGCACTTCTAGCAACACCCGAAAAGGGGGCTGTGAGGGAGGAGGCCTGGCGAGGGCGCGGATGTCTTGGACCTGCGCCGGCCCCTCAGGCGGCGCCTTCGGCGCCGCTCCTGGCGCGTTCGGCGCGCCAGGGAGGGGGGTCCAGCGCAGATCCAATGAACCCGCGCAGACTGCTGAGAGTTTGCGTTGATGCCGCTGTCTCTCCCTCTCTCACCGGGCGCGTTCCACCACTCGCAAAGTGCCTACTCGCAAACGCCCGAAAAGCACACGCCTGCTTCGATGTAATTTGTCGTGGATACCCCGCGGCGGATCCAGCAGTGGAACGCGCTCGTCCAGGGAAGGCGGCAGGGAGTGCCCGCCGCCCCCGGGCCGCCCTCGTGCCCCTGCGGCCCGCTTCGGGGCCCCCGGGGCGTGCCCCCCTCTGCCCGCGGCGGAAACCTCCCCCCGGGGCGCGAAGGAGGGCCCCCTCCCCTCCCCTCCTTCTGCTCCTCTTCCTTGCTCCCCTTCCCTCCTCCTCCTTCCCCTCTGGCCCCTCCTCCTCCTCCTCCTTCTCCTCCTCCTCCTGCTCCTCCCCCTCCTGCTCCTCCTCCTCCTCCTTCTGCTCCCCTCCGTAGCCATTTTGGCTCAAGCCATTTGGGCTCAAGCGCCTTTTGGGCCCCCGCGCCCAGCGCCCGACGGCACCCTGCGTCCACGCGCCGTGTGGACTGCGCGGCCATGTCTCCTGCGGTGTCAGACGCGCTTCGCACCCGTCGGCACCCTTCCGCGGTCGTTCAGGATGGCGGTCCTCTGCCTCTCCTGCTGTCGACCTCGATTGCGGCCCTGGAGCTGTTCGCTGTGTACCAGCAGCGGCACGTGAGCACCATCCGAGATGGTCTTCTTCAAGTTCGGCGGAGGGCAGGCGCGCCCCAGCTCGATAAGAAGATCGTGAAGCAGATCTCGGACATATCGCACGCGTTCAAGATCATTCGGCACTTGACTTCCGCCCACTGCAGCCAGGTGCTGCGGGCGCTCGAGGAGGGGCTTCAGACGGTGTATGGGGCGCCGCGTGCGACGCTGGCACCCGTGGCGCCCCCTGAGGCGATGCTTGGCGACGGCGATGGGGATGACAGCTTGGCGCGGGACGCTGTGACACAGACTGATTTGAAGTTGCATCACTTCAACGGCGTCGACGGCCACGCGATGGACAAGGCGGACGAGTGGGACTACGAGCAGGACTTCGTCCCTGACCCACCTCCTGTCGATTTTCGTGGTGCTGGGGAGGTTCTTGACGATCTTCGTGGTGCCGGGGTTCTTCAGGGCACTGGGGATCTTCCGGGCGATCTTCGCGAGGCTGGTGATCTTCCTGACGGTCCTTGTGATGCTGGGGATTTTCCTGACGGGCTTCGTGGTGGCGCTGATCTTCCTGACGATCTTCTGGGTGCTGGGGATCTTCGCAGTGCTGGCGATCTTCCTGGCGATCCTCGGGGTGCTGGGGATCTTCCTGACGATCTTCGTGGTGCTAGGGGTCTTCGGGGTACTGGGGATCTTCCTGGCGATGGGCGTGATGCTGAGGATCTTCCTGGGGGTCTCCGTGGTGCTGGGGATCTTTCTGACGATCTTCGTGGTGGGTGTGATCTTCCTGACGATCTTCCTGACGATCTTCAGGGCGCTGGGGATCTTCCTGGCGGTCTCCGTGGTGCTGTGGTTCCTCCTGACGGTGTTCGTGGTCGGTGTGATCTTCTTCCTGACGATCTTCGGGGCGCTGGGGATCGGCCTGCCGATCTTCGTGGTGGAGGTGATCTTCCTGACGATCTTGGGGGCGCTGGGGATCCTTGCGGTGCTGGTGATCTTCCTGGCAGCCTTCGTGGTGCGATTGGTCTTCCTGACGATCATCGCAGTGCTGAGGATCCTCCTGGCGATCTTCGTGGGGCGGGGGACCCTCTTCCTGCTGACCTTCGCGATGGCGAGGACCTCCCTGGTGTTTTTCGTGGTGCTGGCGGCCTTCTTTGCGACGGGGATCTTCCTGATGATCTTCGTGGCGCTGGGGATCTGGCTGGCGATCTTCGGGGTGCTGGTGATCTTCCTGACGGACTTCGTCGGGCTGGGGATCTTCCTGACGATCTTCGTGGTGCGGTCGATCATTCCGCTGGTTTTCAAGATCTTCCTGGGCGTGCTGATCTTCTGCCTGGTCATGCCGAGCTTCCTGCCCTCTCTGAGGCAGATGGCATTCCTGCCGATATCCAGACTATCATGGTGGAGGCTGAGGCGTTCGTGCCGAACGCTGTGCTGACGGAGGAACACGAAGCCGTCCTGCGAAGGGCTAGCAAGATCGTGAAGACCGAGGTTTACTACGACGACGAGGCCTACCAGAAGCTGATGCGCAAGGCGCTGGCCAAATGGTAGGCGCTCGAGGGCTTGTGGGTTCGACTATGTCTTCAGGTAGTCGTGGTGGAAAAAAACTCCTCCTCCTTCTCCTCCCCCTCCTGCTCCTCCTGCTCTTCCTTCTTCTCCTCCTCCTCCTCCTCCCTTTCCCCCTCCAGGAGGAGGCAGCAGGGGGAGGAGGGGGAGGAGGAGAGGACAGGAGCAAGGGGGAGGAGGAGGACGAGGAGGAGGAGGGAGGAGGAGGAGGAGGAGCAGGAGCAGGAGCAGTGGGAGCAGGCAGCCGCCCAGCCCTCCTCCGTCCTCCTTCCTCCCTTCGCCGCCCCGGGAGCTCTCCACCCGGCCCCTTCCGTGACGCTTCGGCGGCGCGCCAGGGGGGGGGGGGCTGCTCGTTACCAGGCCCAGGGGCGGGATGCATCGCTCTCTGGAGCGTGTTGGCGCGGAGGGGGGGCTGCTCATTACCAGGCCCAGGGGCGGGATGCAGCGCTCCCTGGAGCGCCCAGGGAGCGCTCGGGAGCGGCCGCGGCCCCCGAGACGTCCTCCGGAGCCTCCCGAACGATATTTTTGCGCCAGGCCGACTGCGGCCCCGTCCTGGCCTCGTCGGGGGCCCGCGAGGGGGCCTCTCGGGAGGCTCGAGGGGCCTCTGAAGGGGGCCGCCGCCGCCCGCTCGGCAGAGCGCCCCCCGCGACAGAGCCCCCCCCCCCTCTTGGCGCGCCGCCGCCGGGCGCCGCGCCCCCCGTGCTCCACCTGGGAGGACGGACCTCTGACCGTGGTTCGGAGGGGGGGGGGACCGCACCTGGACAGCGTTCGAGCACTGCGGCGCAAGATGCCCCCCCCCCCACGCAAACTCACTGCCCCCTCTCGCTCCCGTGCTCGCCTCCCCTCCTTCGTGGTCTCCACCGCCTCCTCATCCTCCTCCCACCTTTCACCCGTTCTTCCATGTTCTTCCCTCGTTGTCCTCGTCCTTCTCCTCCTCGTCCAGGCCCCCGACGTCTCGAGAAACTCGAGCGGCGGTCTTCTGCAATTTCCATCCTCAGGCCTCCAGAGTGCCAGTCCTGGGGAAGGTCGTTCTCCAGACGTTGGGTGGCCCGGAGCAGCCAGGCTCTGAGGTTCCCCCTCCCCCCGTTGGCTGTTTGGTGGCGCGGCGGGACCCCCTAGCAGACAGCAGTCAGGAGGCAGGAAACAGGACTGGAGAGACAAAAGACCAAACAGCGAATGACAAGGCATAACACATGACAGCAGACCGCACACACACATGCACACCTTCGCAGCCTTGCGCCCCGGGAGGCGGCCGGCGGATTTCTCCCTCTCTCTATACATATATAGATGTCATGATTTGTATGTGTGTGTATATATATATTCCGTCTTTCTCAGTTCCCTCCAGTGCGTGCCGTACCTCCCGTCGTGTTTCTACACCACGTGGGGCACTTCGACTCAGCCTGTAGAGCTGTCATGCCTGTACCTCGTTGGCGCGCAGTGCGGCCGGTCACATGCTGTTGTGGCACCGCGGCAAGCGCTGGGGCCGCCCTGATCGACATTGTTTTCCCGGTTGCTGCCCGCTCCGTGTCGCCATCGTCGTCAGCATCGTCGCCGTCATCAAGTCGGCACTATCGGCGCCGCCTGCACCCACGTGACACGGCCATCCCGTTGCCAAGCATCCCTCTCCCGCCCCTTCCTTTCCGATCGCAGATTCGCGTTCGTATGCCTATGTGTAGAGGAGCGTTTCTTGTTGGCGCTTGCGAGGGTGGTCCTAGCCATTCCACCCCCAGTCTTCGGCATTTTCCAGCACCTCCCCCCCAGAAGAGGGAGTGGCGTGGGCGGGGTGAAGGTTCCAATTCCCCTCCTTTTCGGATGTAATGGGTAGGCAGGATGGAATCCCCCCTTTGCGCGCTGGCAAATGACGACGAACATCGCGACGAAGACGACGAACACTACGACGACCACGAGGACGACGGTTCTGATGACGCAGAAAATGATGACAACGAATACGGGTACGAACGCGACTCCGATCCCACGACGCTGACCACGACGACGTTCATGTGGAGGACGATTACCGCGACGCTAACGTCGACGCCGACACTAATGACGACGAGCCTTGTCCAGTCAACTGGCGAGGTAATGTCCCGCCCTCCCGCTTGCTTTCTTGTCACCCGTCTAGATCGTCGTGATTTTCTTTTGTTTTCTTCTTGCATCTCTGACATATTGTCTATTATGTCATGAATGTATGGCGCAATATGAGTCTTCAGTAGACAGTCGAATGGAAAACCTATTTGAGAGACAATCAACAATCACAACAAACAACGGAACATTCGCAAAACAGCCCATTTGGAGTCAGCGCAGCCTTGTACCTCCAAATTGGCTCGCGGATGTTCATACACGCCAATCAAACACACGTGCCTCATACGACGACGCTGACTACGTCAGCCACCCCTCAGTGAGAGACACTAGGTTCGACTTTGGGCCGCAGGGATGCATGTTTGAGCCACCGGGTCTGACTTTGGAGCCTCGGGCCTAGATCTTTGAACCCAAGGCTTCGGTGTGCTGCTCGAATATGGGATCAGAGTCTGACCCCCTGAACTTCAGCGTCGTGCCTTTCGGGCCGCCCACGCCCAGAACAATCAATTACACCGGGATGCGACATTGACGCCATTTCTGCCTTCGTTGCCGATGATCGACAATTACAGTCGTAGTGCATTTTGGTCCGCCAGGGTCCTTTCGTGGGCGTTCCGGAGGGAAATGGGACTTTGGGGTACAGGAGCAGTTGCTTTTTCTGCAGAGGAGGGTGGGTAGCTTGCCCCCTTGCTCTCTCCAGATTCGAGGGGCAAAAGAAAAAAACATAAACTTACGGAGCTCCGCGCGGATTTCTTGGATCGGCGCTGGACCCCGTGGCGGTGCCTCTGGCGCCGCCCCTGGCGCGCTCCGCGTGCTAGGGAGGAGGCCTTAGTCCTGATCCATGGAATCCGAGCGGAGCTCTGGAATTTTACGGTACCTCGACAGATGCCTTTGCCTGCCTCTGCCCCGCGGGAGCTGGGAGGCTTTGCCGACTGACTGCCGGAGCAGATCCCGGACAGATGCCTGGCGCCGCCGGCCTTGCTGTGCTGGCGGGGGCCGAGAGCACCGCCGTCCAGTTCGGAGGGGTGACCGCGGGGCCTTGCGGGGATTTGCTGTGAGGCGGGGGAGCAGGATGACGGGAATGAGGAGCAGGAGGAGAAGTCGAAGGAGAAAAAATGCCAAAAACATAAACTTTTGGCGCTCCGCGCGAATTTCTTGGATCCGCGCTGGGCTCTCTCGGGCGGCGCCTCCGGCGCCGCCCCTGGCGCGCTCCGCGCGCCAGGGAGGGGGGTCCAACGCAGATCCAAGAAATCCGTGCGGAGCGCCAAAAGTTTATGTTTATGGCGTTCCTTTTTCTTTTAAAAAGGCTGGAGGAGCAACTGCAGGGGTATGATGATGATGATGATGATGATGATGATGATGATGATGATGATGCTGCTGATGCTGATGCTGATGCTGATGATGATGCTGATGCTGATGCTGATGCTGCCGATGATGATGATGCTGATGCTGATGATGATGATGCTGATGATGATGCTGCTGCTGCTGATGATGATGATGATGATGATGATGATGATGATGATGATGATGATGAGGTGGAAGTTGTTTTTGTTCGCTCTTCTTTCGCGGAAGGAGGGGAGCACGAGCACGAGCAGGACTGGGCGATGCGTGTCAGAGTGGTGCAGGTATCATGTTTCCCCTGGTGCATGTTGCAGGGTGGGTGGATTCAGGCGATCGCAAACATGGATGAAGGGGGCGTAGATTAGCGACGGGTCCCGTTTCCGTGGGAAATCACGGATTTCCGCCGCCGAGCGAGGCGGTACTGGCCGCATTTTGGTGAGGGCACCTCCCCTGATCCATGGAATCGGCGGCCGCGCGCCAAATCCGTGGATCGCTAATCCATGTTTGCGCGCCCCCGATGGATGCTGATGTCGATTCCTTGTCGTTTCTGATTTTGTCCGTGTCGTCGTCCGCGCGCCGCGTGGCGTCCGCGCGGCGCGCGGGCGGCGGCCGTGCGGCGCCGAGCCAGTTCCAGAATCCACTTCCAAACCGATTCAACATCAACTCCCAAGCCAACTCCGAAGGCAATTCCCAAGTCAGCTCAAAATCCACTTCCGAAGCAGTTCCGAACGAACTCCCAAAATTCATCTAGAAACGCACTCCATTAACGCGTCGACACCAGGCGTCGAGCACAACTCAAAACTCAACTCACACATCAGCTCACACATCAACATACACATACATCCGTTAACGAAAGGCATGAACTCAAAACACCAGTTCGTCGTTGCAGCGATGCCTGTTGGTGATCAGAAGGCCGTCGTCCCACAACGAGGCCACGTGGGCGGACCTCGAACAGTACGACGACGAGGCCGAGAGACAGCTGCAGCAGTGGAGGGCGGAACTTGATGAGCGGGGGCGCGCTCTCGGCGAGGGCCAGGACAAGGGGCGGATCATCAGCGAGCGGGTGCAGGCAACTCGGCTTTCCCCAGCCAGCCGCAAGAAGCCCAGGACGGCCAGTCCCGTCCTGGGCCGGCTGCCGCTGCCCCTCTGCGCCAGCAGAAGGCCCGCAGCCGGGCCGACCGCCAGGCCAAGCAGGGCAGGGCAATCGCAGCAGCAAGTCTAGTACTCCAAATCCATTATTAATCGACCCCCCCTAGAAAACCGAACCCCCTTCAAGTGCGACCTAATATTCCGGACCCCCCTCTTCGACGGGGCGCCCTAATAAACCGGATCCCCTAAGCTCCAATACAAAGAAAGCGCCCTAACGAACCGGACCCCCCCCAGTGACGAAACAGGCTCCTTAAAAAACGGGACCCGGGGGACGATTAATCAGGGGTTTGGAGTAGAGGCCCAGGCCACGGAGCTCGAACGCACGACTCGCGCCGCCGAAGTCGAGGCCCGCGCTGGCAAGGCGGCCCCTGCCGGGGCCAGGAGGCCCGCGCAGGCAGCGGACTGACCAAGCTGTGCAGCTTCTGGTGGCGCTGGCCGTGCTGCAGGGGGTGCAGGCGCGTCAAGCTCCCGACCTTGCTGGAGGACATATCGGCTGGCTGCGTACCACAAGAGCCCCGGCGAC